TTAGCACAACATGCACAGGAAATCAAAACATTCTTATTACATAATAATATCGACATCATGCTAATATCGGAAACGCACTTTACACAGAAGAGCTATTTCACAATACCAAACTTCAATGTATACCACACAAACCACCCAGATGGCACAGCGCATGCAGGTACAGCAATAATCATCAGACGCAACATCAAACATTATGAACGAGAAGAATACCAACAAGAAAATATACAAGCTACCAGCGTAGTCATCCAGGAACACTCCAGCGAATTAACACTCTCATCTATCTATTGTCCGCCCAAATATAATAACAAAACCAAAGATTTTGAACACTTTTTTCAAACACTAGGCAATACTTTCCTAGTGGGAGGAGATTTTAATTCCAAACATGTGCAATGGGGCTCCAGACTCACCAACGTCAAAGGACGGGAATTAATTGCCACCATGAAACGCAATAATCTCAACTACCTATCAACGGGACAACCCACATATTGGCCAACTGATAGAAGGAAGAAACCGGATGTAATAGATTTTTGTATTACTAAAGGGCTAGACAAAAGGAAATTCCTTGTAGAATCAAGTCTAGACCTTACATCTGACCATACCCCAATCATAGTTACTCTATATGCTCAAATACAAAAAAAAACGGAAAGAACCCACTCTACATAGCAAATATACAGACTGGGACTTGTTTCGCGAAATATTGGATTCACTAGTTGTACTAGAAACTCCTCTAAAAACAGAAACCGACATCGATTCTGAAGTTGAGAGACTAACCAAAACCATACAAACGGCAGCATGGCAAGCCACCCCAGACCGAAATGAAAACTGCCTCAAAGAGACATGTCCAATTATCGTTAAACAACAGATTGCGGAAAAAAGAAAAGCCCGCAAAAGATGGCAACACACCAGATCCGACTCTGACCGAAAAATATTCAACAAAAAAGCTAAAGACCTAAAAAATCTACTTCATCACCTCAAAAACGAACATATCCAGGCGCACCTCAAAGGATTAACCGCAACCGACACCACCAACTACTCACTCTTTAAAGCAACACGGAAACTGAACAGACCTCAGGAATTAGTACCACCACTGCAAACTGCCGACGGAAACTGGGCACGAAACAACCAAGAGAAGGCCACAACATTCGCCACACATCTTTCCAAAGTGTTCCAACCATATGGCACTAAACTTACACCAGTTGAAGAAAATGAAATCCATAATTACCTTGACGCTCCCTATCAGATGCATCAACCTATGCGCAATTTCAAATACAAAGAGGTCGAGTCAATCATCAAAAAGGATCTAAATCCAAAGAAAGCTCCTGGATTTGATTTAATCACAGGGAAAGTCTTAAAAGAAATTTCGAAAACATGCATCCAAAAAATAACGCATATATTCAATGCTGTGTTAAGACTAGAATACTATCCATCACTATGGAAAGTATCACAAATCATTATGATCCCAAAACCTGGAAAAAACAAAACAGAAGTCACATCCTACAGACCAATAAGCTTGATCCCAGTCCTCTCTAAAGTACTGGAAAAATTACTCCTGAAACGACTTAATCCGGTATTGGAAGCCCAAAGCTTAATCCCTAAACATCAATTTGGATTCAGAAACAGACACGCCACCACAGAACAAGTCCATAGGGTGGTCAACACAATCAACAAAGCTCTCGAAGCAAAACGCTACTGCTCAACAGTGTTCCTTGACATCAGTCAAGCTTTTGACAAGGTATGGCATGTGGGATTATGCTACAAATTAAAACAAGCACTACCACATCAAATGTATGCCACACTGCGATCCTATCTCACACAAAGGTACTACCTCATAAAACAGCAGGAAGTATACACAGACCTGTATCCAATATTATCTGGTGTACCCCAAGGCAGCGTGTTGGGGCCTGTCTTATACTTGCTCTATACATCTGATCTCCCTACAACTCAACAAACAACCACAGCCACGTTTGCTGACGACACAGTTATCCTGGCGTCACACAGCAACCCCCTCATCGCCTCCTTGCACCTACAAAATCACCTAAATCACATCCAACATTGGCTCAACAAATGGCGCATGAAGGCCAACGAAGATAAGTCTACTCATGTAACATTTACCATGAAACATGACAACTGCCCTTCAGTACAACTCAATAATTCTCAAATTCCACAAGCAGACGACGCCAAATATCTTGGCATGCACCTGGACAAAAGACTCACATGGCAAAAACATATCAAGACCAAACGCACACAGCTCAGAACTAAACTCCACAAGATGTATTGGATGCTGGGACGCCATTCGGAGCTCTCAACAGAGAACAAGATCCTATTATATAAAACTATACTAAAACCGATATGGACCTATGGCATACCCTTATGGGGTACCGCTAGCAACTCCAACATCGAAATTCTTCAGCGATTCCAAAATATGGTACTGCATGTACTAGTTAACGCACCATGGTACGTACCAAACACCGTCCTACACAAGGACCTGGGAATCCCAACAGTACGCGAGGAAATCACGCTCTCCAGTAAAAAATATCAGGCACGCCTCCGGAAGCACCCGAATCCCTTAGCGACGCACCTCTACGATGAGGAAGAAGTCAGGAGGCTTCACAGATTCAAACCGTCACAACTGTTAACCAGATTTGCTATCTAATTTTGTAAAGACTTGCTATTTTAATTTTGTAAAACAATTAACTAATTGACTATAATTAGTTAAATTACATATAGAACGAGTTCATTGGAACACGTTCTTCATGTTAAATTACATTTATATCTATACTCATCATAACTAGTACTTATTATCCATAATAGCTGGATAGATTGTATAATAAATTTGAGAAATAAAAAAAAAAATTCATAATTTTCATTCCCCTTTCCATAGAAAAATGTATAGGCACCTGCTGGTGCAATGCCACCTCCATCCCATCTGACCTCCTGAACTCCTGCTAAATCTAACTTATATTTTAAGATTTCTTCTGCCACTGCCCTGAGCGAACCTACCCTATACAAACTTCGAACATTCCAAGTGCAAAATCTCATATCCATTTTCATTAGCTTAGGTCGTTTATCCAAGGAATCTGTCCAAGTCCAAGGCTTTGTGTTCATTTTTGTAACAATGATTTTTTACGGTGAGGCGTTGTTAGCCCCACGACCAACCCCCAAGCTGAAGGGCCACCCTTTGTCGGCTGTCCGCGACTGCTTATTCACTATATTCGCAGCTTCCCTCCAAAACTGGAGGGCGCCTCCTCCATCGGCAACCTGAGGACGCGCCATGCCGTGGTGACAGTGACCCACCTAACATGGTGCCAGATATTGTTATTGTGATCAAATGATGGAGAATGAGATTGGCAGGACATACAACACACCTGAATGAGATGAAAAATGGATATAAAATTTTGGTAGGAATACACTGAAGGGAGATTTAGATATAGATGGGTAGGTAATATTAAAACAGTCTTTAAATAAATAGGGGGGGGGGGGGCTTTTTTTTCTNTTTTTTTTTTTCCCCCCCCCCCCCCACAAAAGGCAAAGAATTTCTTGACAGTGACTGTCAGCTTCTCAAGAAAAACCCAGCTTAGATAGAGTTAGTTAAGTTGCAGCTTAGATAGCGTTGATAACAGTTTGTTTTGATTCACAGTTTATTGTAAATCATCATATTTACCATATGATTCCAAAGTAGCAGCAGTTTCTTGTCAGTAATTATCTTGCATTGCCATTATGTCATTTTGGCTACCTTTAGATGACCAATTTGTTTTGTGTATTTCATAACTGACCGTCCTGACTGAGATTTCTTGTGGATGTTCTTGGTCCCCACACCCCTTTCAACTCACTGTTCACAGCAATGATTAATTTTCCAGATATTTTTGAACTTAATAAAAATTAGGATGATGGGTAATGTGTATATACCATCATTGTGAGGGAGCCAGAATTGTGTATTCAGTATAACAACTGGTTATAGGCTGGATGACAGAGCTGATGGAGTTTTGAGTCCTGGTAAGGTCAAGAATTTTCCCCACATCATCCAGTCTAGCTTTGGGTTCCATGCAACCTCCTATCCATTCCTTTCATTGGGCAGGTTCAGTTTAGTTATGATGCATCTCATTTGTATTTTGGACATACCTGCAGAAAGGTAACTTGCTGTCTTGATAGATGATTTTTATGGTGTGACTGTAGATGGGTTTTGGATTGATAATGGGATTTATTGGACTTTTACAACTTGCAGCTACAAGTAAGGACTATGCTGTCACTGTTCCATACAATTCATAAACCACTACAGGACACACTAGGTTTTCTCTGTCTGTTACACTCTTTACTAGCTGGTGCTCAGTAGGGGCTTCCAACGGTGGACATTCCCCTTCCTCTGGGTTCCCGAACTGTCCATGGCCTCAGCTACGAGCTTCTCACAACAACTGAACTGCAGCAGTCCTCTCACTAACTCTCTGCAGCTCCTAACTTGTCCTGCTTAAAACATCTCAGCTAGAACTACATAGAAAACAGTGATCCTCTGCTGCAGTCCAGTTGTTGCATTTGTGTCTGTTGGGGTGATCAAGTGGTTGCTACTCAGCATTGCCTAGCAATGGCCGTTGTTTTAATAGCTGTTACATTGTATAAAATAGCTTTTTATATTTTATGGTCTCAGAATAATTCCTCCTGGTGAAATAAAACACTTAAATTCTGCTTCATGTTTTAGAAAGTTTTTTTTGGTTTAAAGTGAATGTCACCTGTGAACTGGTACCAAGTACGTACCTACCTACCACTTGGCGCTACATCCCTGGGTGAGCCTTGGCCTCCTCTACAACCAGTCTCCACTGCTCTCTATTCCTCATCTTCTCTCTCCATCCTTTCAGTAAATACCAAGTGTTTAAGTTGAAATGCAGCTATTGATACTGACTTACATGTCAGTTGGAATATAAATTCACAGTGACAACGAGGTAGTCTGATTTGTATCAGCCATTAAATTAAGAATATCAGTGTAAACTTACATGTTTTTTTTTTTTCAGGCTGATGAATACACTGAAGGTGGGAAAATGGACACTGCAGAAACCAAACTTCATTTGCACAAACCTGTATTAATTAAAAGGGAACCAGACAGTTATGAAGATGGATGTGGTGTCATTACACCAGATGAAAATGGATTTGAATGTAATGAAGATTTTCTAAAAAGTGAAGATGCAGTACTTGAAGAAGACCGTGTTGGTACTACTGATAATATAAACGAGGTTACTATTACATATGATCCATTAATTAAAGAGGAACCTGAACAGCAGATTGTTTTAAGTGACAACGTGAGCTGTCTTCAGAATGTCCCACAATCCAAAGCATCCGTAGAAGCAGTTCAGCAGTTATACTGGTGTGAAGTGTGTGACAGGTCATTTAGTCGGGAAGATCTGCTGTTAAGACATTCAAAAATTCACAGTGAAGAGCGGACACACGTATGTGAATTGTGTTACAAACGATTTAGGAATAATTCTGGCCTAAAATTACACTTAATATCTCACACTGGGGAGCGTCCTCACATTTGTGAAGAATGTGGTAGAGCTTTTGGAGTACGTAGTCATCTTAAGAGACATTCTCTTCAGCATAGGGGGGATCGAACCCACACTTGTCTAGAGTGTGGAAAGGGATTTGCAATTATAAATCATTTGAAAAGGCATATGATTGAACATACTGGAGGACGATCGCATGTATGCTATGAGTGCAATAAGAAATTTATGAGTTTATCTGATCTGAAGAAACACTTATTGATCCATACTGGGGAGAGACCCCACGTTTGTTTAGAATGTGGTAAAGGTTTCACCCAAGCCGGTCACCTGAAACAACACATTTTAATTCATACTGGGGAAAGACCTCACATGTGCCAAGTTTGTGGTAAGGGATTTTCAGTGCAGAGTAATCTAAAGAAACACTCTCTCTTACATACTGGTGAACAGCTTAATGAGTGTGCAGAATGTGGCGCAGGATTTGTGTTACTCGCTCACTTAAAAAAGCACATCAGTCAGCATACTAAAAGAGGTCCCCCCGTTTGTCAGATATGTAACAAACAGTTTACATATGATTCTGATCTCAAGAAACATTTGTTAATTCATACTGGAGAACGTCCACATAAATGTAATCTCTGTGGTAAAGGATTCATTCAAGTGAGTCATCTTAATCGACATTTATCAACCCACATTAGGAACCAACCTAATGTATGAGGAGGTCTGTTGCATGTCCTTCCTCATGTTGCAGAAATAAATTTTTAGGCCTGAAGTTTGTTCAGACATTGACCCTTGTCTGAATAAAAATATACACAGTATTTTGGAGACTGGTTATATCAGTCTTTGGCTGAAGCAAAAGCAGAACAGAAGAAAGTTCTTTATACACTTCGGTGGCAGATGGTAGAGAGAAATTAACCACATAATTTTATGTTTCTCAAAGAATGTATAAAGGCATGTAAGAACAGGTAGAAGTAAATTGTGAGCACAGAATAAACAAGCAAAATTTGTTGTTGTCTGTAGCATACCTGTACAATTTGTTTGCTAGACATCATTGCTTCTCTACAATTCTGAAAATGATTATGGCTTGTTGATTTTCACTCAAAATCCAATATACAGTTTCCTTATGATTTTTATTGTTAATGTAGTTAAAGATTCAAAATAATTTCATAGTGTTATATTATGTGTGATCAGTGTGAAAATATATAAATACACAGTTACATAATGCTTGGATATTCATTCCCACCAGGTTTCTACAAGACGGACGACGTATTTCAGCAATTTATGTCATGCTTAGGCTCCCAAATACGTGAAATACATGTGTAAACATTTTACATTACAGAGAATGTACAGGGGATAGACAAAAATATGGAAACACCCAACAAAAAAACATTACCATGACTAATATGGTGTAGGACAACTTCTGGCTTGCAGAACTGCTTGCAATCTCCTTGGAATGGATAAATAGAGGTTCTGTATGATTTGCAAGGGAATCTTTTACCATTCTTCCTCAAAAATATTGGCAAGTTCTGTTAACAATGATGGAGGTGGATAGTGTGCATGCAGATTGCTCTCCAAAACAGACCACAAAGGCTGAATAATGTTGATATCTGGTGATTGTAGGGGCCATGGCAGATGTGACACTTCATCTTCGTGCTCAGAAAACCAGTCCTGGACGATGTGAGCTGTGTGAATGGTCATCCTGGTAAATGGCATCACCATTGGGGAACAAAATTTGCATCATGGGATGGACTTGGTCGCCCAAAATGGTCACATAGTCATTTGTAGTGACGTGACATTGCAGGGTAATAATGGGTCCAACAGAATACACTATGGCTGCCCATACCATGATCGAACCCCCACCATGTTTCACTTTTGGCAGCAAACAATCTGGATCATAAGCTTGGGATGGCGTTCTCCAGACATAAACTCTGCCAGAAGTCGGAAATAGTGTGAAGGTGGACTCATCCGACCAAATGACCATCTTCCATTGCTCCATAGTCCACGCTTTATGACTTCGGCACCACACTCTCCTCTTAGTGGCATTTTGATCACTGATGAGAAGCTTTGGAATTGCAGCTCATCTAGAAATACACTGCTTATGGAGTTCACTTCGTACTGTTTTGGTGCTGACAGGGTTTGTGAGTGTGATGTTCAGTTCAGCAATCACTTTTGCAGCTGTAGTCTTATTTTTCGTCACAATCCTGCACAATGTTTGCCTGTCTTGATCACTCAACACCCATTTACGTCCACGCTGGTGTTTATTGGATGCCGTTTTTCCAGTCCTGTATGCGGTCATAATCTTGGATACTGTGCCTTGCGAAACACCAAAAACCTCAGCTACCTTGGTTATGGAAGCACCCACCATATGGGCCCAACAATTTGCCCACATTCGAATTCTGTTAGCTCTGCATTAAAACTGCGCAGAATACTGTCTCAACAACAAATGAAACTTGCAACGTATTGCAGAGGTTGTACAGGTCATACAGGTAGTGGTATTGGGCAGATACGTCAGTGTCACCTACAGACGTCGGTAAAATAAACACTTCAATTCAGGCATGCATTTCACGAGGTGTTTCCATATTTTTGTCCATCCCCTATACATCTTATATGTAATTTTGTCTAGTAGATCCAGTGTCCTGTCAAATGTATATGAAGCATTAAAATGTATGTAAGAATAACAGTGTTAAATGGGGTACATGGTAGCATAGTTGGTTGAGTCACTATGCTAAAAGCCGGAAGGTGGCAGGTTCGATTCCTGATTAGGTCATTGAATTTTTCAGTTGGCCTAATCCTTCCACCTGCACTATGGCCCTGGGGTCGACTCAGCCTGTAACAGAAATGAGTACCAGGAATCTTCCTGGTGGTAAAGGGTGGCTGGCACATAAAGCTGACAACTTTACCGCCATCTGTGACCCAATAGTCTAGACAAAATGTGGGAGTCTCGATGTCTCACAACCCTATGGACCACCACAGCCTGTTACGGGGATAGCATTATCTTTAACACATTTAAATATAATAAAAATTAGTAACATTGACACAGTTTAAAGCTAAAACACTCTTTGGCATAATTTTTGGTTTAAAATGTTCACAACATTTCTAGGTTAGCCCTTTATGATTGACAGGAGTTTTATATAATAGGTATCTAAAAAGAAATTGGTAGAGGGGATTGCTATGTTGTGAAAGTAATGTGTTATATAGGTTCACCATGAGATTTTCGTAATGTCAGATTATTCTCATGTCATGTGGTCAGGATTTACTGCATATATATATATACACACAGGGTGTCCCAGGAGGAATGGACCAAACTTTGGGAGGGTGTTCCTTATGTTAAAGTATGCCGATATAACCCAAAACACCTATGTCCAAAGTTGAACGGTTACGGAGATAATGGCCAGAGAAGTGTCAAACTTTGACTGGCGTTGCACACTTGTTGATTACAAAATACATATTAAAACTGGCAGGAATATGTGGATTCTGTAATGTTAATAATGTACGTAACATCAAACTAACTTGTGAGTGACATGAAGCCATAAGATTGAAGTACAAAATACTCGCTCGCCATGTCATAATTGTCCTTAGGGTTTCCAAGCACTATACATGACACATGAATGGCAGGCGCTGACGTAACGTGGCTGACTGCGCGTTCTGATAAAGCCAACTACATACATACGGCTAGGGTGAATCATGGCACTCTAGGACAGACAAAGATAAGGTCTCTCAGCTGAGAGGTACAGTGCGTGGACCTGCCAGAAGACCACGCTTTTCTTGGGCCATTATCTCCGTAACCGTTCAACTTTGGACATAGGTGTTTTGGGTTATATCGGCATACTTTAACATAAGGAACACCCTCCCGAAGTTTGGTCGATTCCTCCTGGGACATCCTGTATATATATATATATATATATATAGCATTGAAATGCACAGAGGTATTGTGATCAGTGCGCTGTAAGGATGGCAGATATACACAGACCATATCTGTACAATGTATGACCGTGCATTTATGTGTTTTCACATTCAAAACAATCTGTTGTTCCTTGCTTCTGAGTGCTTGTGCGCTTGCATGCTTTACAGAACCATCATTAGTCATCCCTGAGCAACAAACACTTTGTATCACTATGATCAGAAATACAAATATTTTTATTCAGTTAATAGCATATGTACAATCTACTCTTGGTAATATGGAGCAATAAGTAAATTTGTTTTAAGTGAGTGTCTTGAGAAGAAAAGTTGTCCACTGATGATAGTCTGACAGGCCCTGTAGAGGAATGGTGGTGGTTTTAATTTTCATCATCTGCGGGTTGTGGTAGGTCAGACGGCCACTGTCTCCTCATTTTTCTTACATCTTGTGGGTTACTAATTTCTACATCTAGGCTGTTGTGTCCAAGTAAGCTTTGATGGTAGAGTGTTGACAGTCTATGTATTTCTTCTATGACAAATGGGATTTGCAAATCATTGTGGATAGTAAAGTTGGAGACATACCAAGGTGCTTTAGTTACTGAGGGCAAGAATTTGGATTGAAGTTTTTTTAATTTTTGTGTTGGATGGTTTTGTACAGCCTCATATACCATATGTCCATATGGGTAGAAATACAAACTGACTATAAATAATCTTTTGGTGCATGGTAGGCTTGTGTGAAGGTACCGTATGTTTAGTTTGTACTGCCAATATCGAAAAAGAGAAAATATATTGTTATTAAAGCAGAATTTAAAATTGTTGTCAAAACACATGAACTCTAAATTGCATTGTGATATTCGAGGTTCTCACAGTGGTGAATGTGAAGACTACTCACTTGTGGAATGTGGCTTCATGTAGTCTGGTAGAAAAATACTGATATTTTGGAGGAACTTGGTGCTTCTGTCATACAGCTACCCTGAAGATGGAGGTTGCAGGTTCCTCTGAAACATCGGTCCATTTCTGTCAGACTGCGTGACATCATATCCGAGAAGACAGTGATCTTCGGATTAATTGCTTTCACTAGCACATTTCTGAAAAGTTTTTTTTTGCTAGTGGGGTGGTACTAAGTCCCTTGTACTGTGGCCACTTCTGGCCTATTGTACCAATAATCACCTATTGATAGGTGAGGGTGATTGTGGAGGAATTGGTGGAATGAAGATTGGTAGGGGAAACCGAAGTACCCGGAGAAAACCTGCCCCAGCGCCACTTTGTCCACCACAAATCCCACTTGACCAGACCCAGTATCGAACCCAGGCTGCTGTGATGAGAAGCCAGCGACTAACCACTTCAGTTGTGGGGCATCCTTCTGATAAGCAAGTATAACTGCAAATAGCCCCATGTGAGAACTTTTAGATCTTGATAACGCAAAGAGAATTCTCACATGATGGTATACCATATTCACCACTCTTTAGAACCACTGCTGAATTATTTATTTTGTTGCTTCCGTCAAGAATGTGAAGTTTCCTAAATACTTTGTCATAGGTAGCAAAATATATATAATACATTAATTCATTCCATTGGAGCTTGATGATTGGTTTTTGATATTGGATTATGCATGATTTATACTTGAGAGGCTTCCTGTTCAAATCTCTGGCCCTTCTGAGGTATTTGTGATCTTCAGTCCTTCCAGGCAAATGCAACACTAAATTAAAAATATCTGGCCATGCCAGAGCTGAAGCGGTTAGTCCCTGGCTTCCCACTTTGGCGGCCTGGGTTCGATCCCGGGTCTGGTCATGTGGGATTTGTGGTGGACAAAGTGGCGCTGGGGCGGGTTTTCTCCAAGTATTTCGTTTTCCCTTGGCAGTCTTCATTCCACCAAATTCTCCATCATCATAATCACCCAGGGCAGACTACAATAGGCCAATCAGTGGTAGCCTTGCTGAGTGGACCCAGTTGGTCTTCACCCCCCCCCCCAAGCGAATTTAATTTTAAATTTAATGTAAAAATATGCCAAAGCTGTTTTTGTCCTTATTTTCTTGAACTAGCCATTTTTAAATTTACATAACCATAGTGATTGATACATCACTGAGTAACCACAAAGTTAATTTTATTGAATTGTTATTACAGGTGTAAATTAAAGGGATAATCCCTGTTGTGGTTTCTAATAATGGACAGTTGATTAGAAAACTAAATAAAGGCGGCCCTAAATCAAGAAAATTAACACATTGATAATTCAACTAGGGGAAGTAGTAACTGATCCATATATAAAGGATAACCT